ATCTCTACTACTTATGGCTTGATTGTCTGCAGACAGGGAAAGAGTTAGAAGCTTTTTACATAAAGAGACGGTGGCAGATGCAGTAGGGCCAACATAGAGCTGACTGCACACCTCCTTAGAAAGGTGACCCTCATGGTATAAATACATCACTTAATTGATGTGCAGCTATCATTTCACACCAGGATACATCACCTGTAAAAAAATAAACACTGGAATTCAGTGAAACAAAATTAAGGGGGATTAGTGTCTAAAACAGACAACTACGTCAGGAAAGCTTAGACTAAGACTTGTCAGGTAATCATTTATGTCGTTTTCCCTACACTAATATAAGGTGCTAAGAATGGCTTTGTAGTAGAGAAAAAAACCCCTTCTTCTATATTCAGTCTCTAATGACAGGGACTGTTATTTGTGTGATGATGACAGATGTTCAGTAGTCAAAATGATCAGTTTTGCACTGTAGCAAGCAGGCCTCTGCACCTTCTAAAGGCTCTTTGAAAATCTTCAAGTCACAGAAAACATAGGCAGTAGCACAAACATCAGGTTCTGAGCTGTGCAATGCAAGTCAAGAGCAGATGTTACTACATAGGCTTGTCTCACGATAAAGTTATGCAGAAGTAGATTACTGTGAGGAACACAAAAACCAGCCATTTATTCCTAGACAGACAAGCTGTAGTCCTGCTGCCGTCTTCTCAACTTAAATGTTTCAAACTGTGAACATCTGCTTACTTACAATGTCCAAGTTCTGGATCTTAACATGCTTCCAACTGGCTAGCAAAATGAGAAGCACTCTTACAAAGAAAATGCTCAATTCTTCAATGCAAAATTATTAGAGGTGTAGAGAGTGCCCTCGTATCTATCGGGGGGAAAAAAGTTGTCATTATTATTATTATGTAATGAAGGCTTCTGAAAATATAGATGCTACCGGTTTATTTTAAGCATATGTAATACCTACGTATTTAATCATATTGAAATCCTTAAGAGGAACACAGAAATACTTGATCTTGGCTTTCAAAACAGTATGAGGAAAAACCTAATGAGGAAAAACCTAATGACATATGAAAATTTTAAATAAAGCTGCTGAATCATTTTTTCAACGTGATTCCTGATTAACTACAGTAACTACAAAGAATTTGATTTTTTAAATTAGTTGAGAATTAGCTCTGAATTTAAAGTTAAAATCCTATTTAAAAAAAAAAAAAAAAGCAAGCAGATGTAATAATTTGTCCCAAACTTGTTTACTATCAGGGGAACCTATTATAAATAAGTCAACATATGCAGAGAACAACTTGCACCATGTATTGGGTCTTAGGGGTTGTTCTTCCAATTAAAAAAGATGCATAAGGATGGAAAGTAAGACTAAACAGCCTTCAGACCTGAAGGGCTAGCACAGAAAGCTCATGTAGCAATATCCAAGATCATACCCAAGAATGAAATAATAAAGCTGTAAATAAAGAAGTTTTGGTCATCTTATCTAAAATGATCCAGACTGGGTCCAACTCCAGAACATATCCACACCACTAAAGCAAGCTCACATTATCTGTTATGATTTAATAGACTCCATATCCATGCATCAGAGCTACCACCACTTTACTCCAGAAACATCTTTTTTATGTCACTGTGGCTTACTGAGCAACTCAACACTGCAAATCTGTAAGTACTCTGCTTAGTTAATGAGACTTTCACTTTTCAAAGCTGTCAATTTTGTATGTTGTCTGATCAACGAATGTACCTTGTATTCTCAAAAGTTCTTGGGGAGAGTGTTATGCTTTCAGAAGTAAGTAATACATTTGTAAGTATTATTTTTATTACTTGTAAGTAATACACATGTAAGACTTCCATTACATTACTTTCCCTACCACTATCACTTCAAAATAACAGGTGACTTAAGCTGTTTTATATAAGAGAAATATATTTATAAATATAATACCTGGTTACGCTAAATGAAATCTTTTATCAGTGTCTTCACCACTGGGGGGGGGGAAATAAACAAACAAAAAAACCCACCCAAATAAAATTCAGGAAAAAAAAACTACAAAAAAACTCCCAAAGGAAAAAAAAACCCAAACAACAACTCAAAAAAAGTCCAACCAAAATACCTAATTCCAAACAACAACAAAACAGGAACAAACAAACAAAAAACCTTCAAATTACTGCTTTTTCCATAAACACATTACAAAATGAAAATAGAAGCCATGGTAGCAATAATCCAGATGGCAAACAGAGTATGATGCTATCTGCGGGGCATAATTTGTAATTTTTTTTTCCTCAGCATTGCCATGCCCCTGCTTTTCTATGCAGGTGGGGAACCACTTATATTCAAAAAGGAAAGAACAATCCTTCTATTTCTAGATGACAATATGAAAATAGTACTGTGGAGGTTAAAATTAGACATCACTTTATCAGATTCAATTATGATAGTCAAGTTAAATATTTTCTATTGCTTTACATGCTGAAAAAAGTAAACTAAGGCATCATTCCTGAACATTAAGTCGTGCATTTAATCTCCACTTCCATATGATCAACTACACACAAACACACACTTTTCTAACAATAATAGTAATAAAAAAGATTCTTCCCAATGAAGCACATTATGGAAGAGGAACACAGCATGACCAATCAAGGGAAGACATAATTTCACAAACCACAGATGCTAACTTGGCTACTCTCTAGACAAGGCCCATGAATTTACCTACTTTCTTTGGGAAAAAAAATCTTAAATAGAGGGATGCAGGAAAGCATCAACACTAAATATATTTATAGTAACAAATTATGTAGCACACCTTAAAATAAACAAATTGAAAGTCACATGTGATCAAGCAATTTCCTTACCAATTTATATACCTCATTGTTTCTATTTCTACTATTTCAGAAGATGGCACGAGATTATTATAGTCTGGGTTTTTACCCTTACTATGTATCTTATTTTTTGAATCTCTATGGAAAATGCCTCCAACATAAATTAAGTATAATATATAAGAGATAATGGTAGGAGCAGAACTGTACTTTACACCCCCTGTGTAAGATTAACATTCAGTTGTCTGGCAGCATCTGCTTGGCAGACAAGTACTTTAGTTTCTCAAGAATTTGAAGAGGCTGAATGATGGAGACAACCTTATGCCAGCAAGGTTCTCTAGTACTTTCCCTGATACCAACAGCTACACAAATGTCTGAGATCTGTGCACTGCAGAAATCATCTGGTACCAAACTGCACAAAATGATTGACTACATCCTGCACCCACCATAACTTCCAAGACATAAAATTTTAGCTGCACTATGCAGCAGCAGTCAAATCAAGCATGAGCAACCATGCACCTTCACAGAGTAGCCCACAAAATGCAGACCACAGAGCCATGTGAAACAAAGATTATGTATGCAGGAAAGCTACAAATCTTATTGAAGACTTTAATGTGTCACCTTAGAGTCAATTTTCAGTGTATACACATCCAATGGGTGCACTGTGATCCACCTCTAGTTTATACACCTCTGCTAGAAGAAGAAGTATCTAACACGAGCTTTAGATTTCATTCCTGGTCAGACACACTAGTCTCTTATTTTGCAGCATCCTTTACTGGTAAAGAAAAAGCATTATTCCGTTTAAGAGGCTGCACGTACATAGCTGGACTGCAATGTATTCTTCTGCAGGTTTCTGCAAAGGGTATGCATTCATTTCAGGAAGGAAAGCAGTGAACAGCTTATAGGTTTTGTAAATGGAAATAGTGTAAGTACTCCTTCTGAAGTGCTAAAATTTCACGGAAATTAGTGGTTTCCCAAAGCCCAACTGTGACACCGTTACGACTGAAATATGGTACCCGAATTTCACATATGGATAAGGAAATTCAAGGCACTGCCACACACTATGTAGCTTTATAAACAGACAAGTCGCAACACTGAGAAGGCTGCTGGGGAGCAGCTTTCCACCTGTTCCATGGAGGTGGAACACTGCTGACCCTACACCCAGAGCCATAAGCATTCCTTATCCACAGACTGCAGCACTTCCTCCTATAAAATACAGTGATTTATGCTCATGAATTCTGCGCATCACTCGGTCAACTCGAGACCTCTTCCAACAGCTCTGCTCTCCTTTTCCCTAAATGTCCCATTACACCTTACACAGGCAAAGGCGGGAGGTCGAAAAACTGATTCCCGCATAATTTGGTTTTTTGCTTCAGATCGTTTTCTCCAGCACTGTTGCTCTCTTTTTACCAAAAAGCGCCGGCTCCACACATCACCACCCCTCCCCAGCCAGGGCGGCGACTGAACCCCCCGGGCCGGACTGCCCCGCGGGATGCGGCGGCCGGGGCGGGCAGGGAGCGGGGACAGAGCGGGAGCGGCCGGGGCGGGCAGGGAGCGGTTGGGGCGGTTGGGAAGCGCGGACAGAGCGCGGGACCGCCGGTACAAGCGGGTGAGGAGAGAGGGACCCAGCAGGACAGGGAGGGACAGGCGGCGCCCGCGGCCCCGGCACCCACCGAAGAGGCTGCTGCTGAAGCCGTCCCAGACACAGCCGGCGGCGTCCCACACCCAGCGGCTCCTCAGGCAGGACATGAAGGTAAGGCTCACGCCGAAGACGGACACCAGCAGGTCGCTGAGGCTGATGTTGACAAGGAAGAGGTTGGTGGGCGTGCGGAGCCGCTTGAACTTGTAGTAGAGCACCAGCACCAGCAAGTTGTTGCACAAGCCCAGCATGCCGATGGTGGCGACCAGCAGCGCCAGCAGCTCGTAGGTGCCGGCGCTGAAGAGGGGCCGCTCGCCCGGCACCTCCTGCTCGGGCGCCGCGGGCTCCGGGCGGCTGGAGGTGGCCGTGCCGTTCCCCTCGGGCATGGCTCCCGGCCGGAGCGGGGCTAAACCTCCCGGCCCGCTCCCAGCCCCATCGCACGCCGATGCTCCGGGCAGGAGGAGGAGGAGTCCCCGCTGCCTTCCCGCCCACGGAGGGCGCGCCCTCGAGTGGCTTCGCCCTCGCCTGCCCCGGGGCGGGCCCGGGCCCGGGAATGGCTCCTTCTGAACGACCGGCTCTGCTCGCCCTCTTGCCGCGGTGAGCAGCCCCGTTGTGGCCGGGATGTGGTTATTGTCTCCTCTTCCTTAAAAATCCTCTGTTCGCTTTGGCTGGGCCGCGGCTGCCCTGAGCAGCTCTTCCCGCCCGGGGGTCGCGTCTGGGCAGACCTGCTCCGCGGCCAGCTCCTGGAAAAGGCAGAACCGGTATTTAGCCTTCTTCCCCAGATGTCCTGCCATGAAAAGTCCTGTTATGGCAACAGTGTCTTCTCAGGAGATTCCCCGCAGGGCTCGCAGCTTGTCTCTAGGAGTTGGAACTCCACGAAGCGACCCGGCAACGCCACGGCCCGTGCAAACCTGTGGTGTGAGTGAACACTTGTTTTTCGTCAGCCATGGGGCAAGTAAGGCACCACAGTTCGCACCGTGAAGTCGCCTATTTTATACCTTTGTCTGCAGCGTGTGCTGTCCAGGAATACTGCGGCTGCCTGTGTACAGCTCTGGCTGCTGTTAGTGGTGGGTGTTGTCCCGAGCCTCAGCTGTGTTAGGGTGCCTGTACTGTCTCCAAACCCAACCCACCCCGGAGTGTTGTACAGGGCATTTTCCTCACCACGGTTCTACACACAAAACGCCTTGCCGGATCGGTTTTCCTCGCAGGAAGACCTCTAGTTTGTTTGCTTTAATGTGTGTTCGTATGTGACAGCCTTCTTAAGAGCCTTTCTTAAGAAAACTTTCAGTTTAGGTCTGTTCTTACTTTAGTTAAAAAACAACAAAAAAACAGCTGTGAAAGCAACAGAATTTCAATATTTTAATGGATACATATCTTGTAAAAAAATACCTTTTTTTTTTCTTCTCTTATACATGGTAGTATTAAATGATCTAGACTAGGGGTGAACTGAGACTGAAAACATGAATAGTTGAGGTAGGTTTGATGTCTTTCAAAGCAAACCTGTATACAAATTATGGCTTCTCATGGCAGTACATTTTATATGACAAATTCCTGCTGTAATACAAGGCAGTAGGAATAAAGTCATAGGTCAGAAAAACTAAACAATGATTAAAGTACCTATTCTTATTGGTGTTAACTTTATTTATTTATTTATGATCCATGTTGTTAAATCCCTCATATATAATGTAATCAGTAACTTAGACTTTAAGAAGTTAGTTCAGTCTGTTTCTTCATCAATGGTCGACCGTGCTTTTCTCATTGCAGAGGAAGGAGCAGCTTCCTTTCTCAAAATCAATTATATATTTTTTACCATAAAAGCTGTATTTACAAATCACATGACCTTCCAAAATTTGTGGTAATAGACCACATCATTAAACATCAGTTTTTGAGAAGACATAATTTTGTCTTTCCTCATCCAGAAAATAAATTTACCTGTACATGACAGACCATGTACAAAAATATTAGGTCAATGCGCAGTTTGTTTAGGACAGTCACTGCATTCTGAAAGTCTAACAATGGCATGACCATGCCAAATTAATATTACACCTCATTGAGAACAAGACATCTTTATTTTCTACCTGTAAGGGAAAATCTTAAATTGTGTATCTTTTTATCCCTGCAAAATGAAAGGAGAGAAAAGGTGGTAAGAAGAATGGGAAAAATTTAATGTATTGAGTAGTACTCCACTGGCAGGTTCCATTATATACTTAGGGTTTCTAAGAGGTATTTCACCATTGCACCTGTCAGAAATACTCCCTCTAGATGTCTTTGAATTTATAGAAGATAAGAGAACCCATAACTTGCATTTTATAAAGATCATATCTCAGAATTCCTGGTTTGGGCTTTTGCTTAGCAAAACTAAATAGATCCATAGATGTGCAATCTCTCCAGTGCTTTACTTGTGAAGATCACATTATTAATACTGTCAAATTGCTAATGTTATTCAAGTGGTCTTGGATACTTCATGAGGAGAGTTCCATTTGTCTTCCTTGCAGTGTCCCTTCTCACATGAGGCACAACAAAAAGAAATACTGTTTTATTATATCATCAGGTCAAAAGCTGGAAACAGAACCCTGACCCCAGTTCTAGTCCAGATTCTGTTTTACCTAACCCACTCTAGAATCAATGCAACTATGGTTTTAGTCATCTAACTAATTCTTTAGTCAATCCTTTTCTGCTGCAAAAAGGGTTTTACCTTTACTGTAACCATTGCATAAAACGATAGACCGGAACCCGTTTCTTAAAGTATATGTGGAAGTGTGTCAAAGTACTGAACATGTGTGTAGCTGAGCTCATGGAATTAAAAATGTACAACAAGAAGCAGGAATAGACAGTCCCACTCCTGTTCTACAAAAACAGTCTCTGAAACTCCCAAGGACTTCCTAGACCTTTTCTGCAAGTGTCCTTTAAAGGTGTTGTCTTTTATGCACAATTCATGTGGGATGGAAGAATGCATTGGCTGTAATTTTTCAGGTGGTCAACCTATGCTTACATATGCACAAGACAAACTTAAAACTCATCCTTGGAACTAATAATTCACAAGTAGAAACTTTGCAGATGTCTGGGACTGTCTTCAGAACTTTATAGTACTTAGCAATTTGGAGTGGTTCAGCACACCAGAGCATTTAGTGTCACTTGTTAGAGCTGAAGAGTCTGAAGAAGAGTTAATAAACTTTCAAAGTCACTGCTACTCTCTAAGCTTGGGCAGAAATACAAACCACAAATATGACTCCCAGTTGTAACTGCACCAGTTACAACTTTTGGGCTTTTGCAGTGAGAACACTGTGGAGTGGAAAAAGAACGTTTCAACGCATTCAAGAGATCTCTTTCATTTTATGGTTCACTGACTTATGTGTTGCTTTCACTCATTTTCTCTGTTCTGTGTTTTCTGCTAGTGTGCCTTTGAAGTCACAGGCTCTTTTCCATTTTTCCTGACAAGCAGAGTGAGCAGCAAAGTCAAGCTTTTGTCCATATCAAATACATTTGTTCTAGGAATCAGGTAATGCTGGGGTTTTGAGGCCTGTTTTGAACTTTGTAAGCTTATTTATTTCAAAGGGCATGGTATAGAGTGAGAATACAGGCTGGTCAAAACCAAAACTTCCCAAAAACTCTGGCTACCTAGCTTCAAATTTTTTATTTTTTTTTTTAGAGTGTTCTTCTGGCATATTTTTTTGTTACATATTGCTATTCTTTAGCCTTACAGGCAGGTGAAAGCTGAGTGATTATTCACTGTATCTGTGTATAGCTGCAGGGTATATCTACAGAGCAAGTGTGAGTTTGTGGACAGAAGAAAAACTTTTCATCTGTTTCTAACCTCTTGGCTCTATAACAAGGCTTTTAATATAAATCTACACTTGCTGATAATGCAATTTTTAAGTAAAAAAAACTCAAAATGCACAACCCTAATGGCAAAGATTTAAAGCTAGGGCTTCGTCTTGCAGAACTTGTGATTCTACGTGTATAATCTGGTCCATATTGGGATGTGAACTTTAAATCATAAAGCAGGTAACATGCAAATGTTGCAAGAATGTGAGAATATTCTGAGCTGAGAGAAGTGCTTGGTTCAGACACGATTCATTGAAGCAAGCAGAGGTGTTTTCAGTGGGAGAGAGGGACTCAGGTAGTCCTGGAAGGTGATGGCGAGGGTCAGAGCATCTGTGCTGCAGTTGGAAGTTGCTGCAGCCCGTTCCATAATTTGTGAGCTCTGGTATACCTGACATGTGTACAAAGAGCTGTACTAGCTGCAGGTGTGATTCATCTCACCTAAATGATGCATTTGAAAGTTAAGCTCCTAAGACCAGTAAGATGAATCACCCTCTGGAAGTGTTTATTGACTGGCACATAAGATGACTTGAATAATTAACTTCTGGGTGCCTAAGTAAGATGAGATGAACTTCATTTTAGCTAGAGAAACCTGTGTGGGACTGTGCTATGTGCTCAGGCAATAGATGCATATTGATGCCTCTGTTGCACTTGTTTCTTGCAGAGTAAGTTAAAAGAAGTGATGATACATGCTTGTCCCTGCTGACATCATACTGACCTTGGTTGTACAGACCCAGCTCATAGGACAGCCTGAACTATAAACACTAGCATTGTATGACCATTATAAGATCAGCAACACCAGTCTTTGCAACAATAATGCTATTAAATTCATTTGTGATATAAACTGGTTTCTTTTAAGGAATAACCTTGCATAGTAGTTCATACTTATGCTGCAGCATCTTGTTAGTGTGACCAACTTAAAGTGAAAGTGTTTACAAACTTACTGCCTTGTTGTCATTTTCCAGAACTCGACATACAAATCCATATATAGTTCATAGGAAATAAAGTTTTTAAAACTATCACTTGGTCATTTCAGCTGCTGTTAATGACATAGAGGATGAGATGCACTTTATAGCAAGGAGTGCAATGCTGCTTATGGGGTGTTAGTATCAAAAGAAAAGTGGAAAATTGTGCCAGTAGAAAAAAAAGAGTAAGCTAATTAAAATATCAACATGATAGCACCCTTTAAACACTGTTTCATAGAAAAAATTTAATTTTACAGTGTTAAAATGTATTACTTACCCATCCCCATACTGGTCAGTGAGTTCAGTCTCTGAACTCAAGCAACTCTATCCTGATTCACCTTAAGCACAGCTAGGTTTAATGGGATGTTTATAAGGAAGAAATAACAAAGGATGGATAAGCTTATCTATCCTCAGGGTTTGACTTTTTTTGTTTTTAAATGGCTGGCCTTTATCTGAACCAAAATCAGAAACAAAGTCTTTTATGTCCCACAGCCTCTTTAGGGACATCTAAGGCCAGTTTAGATCCACTATGTGATCCACTTTGGACTGTTCTCAGCCATTATTTTACTTGAGGAGAATTTGCTTTTGCATGAGACTGCCAGGAAGAGTGACTGGCAACCTGGTACAGGCAGGAAAGATCTATCATCTTTGCTGTTTGTCTTCTTCTGTTATTTGTTGGGTTATTTGTTATGTGCTGTCAAATGACATGGTCAGAAATTTAAAACTTGCATGGCGTTTCATAGACGTATGGTAGTTATTGAGATAAAGATTGAAAATTATTGATTTCTAAAATCGTGTGCCAGTCCTACAATGAACTTGCTGCATCTGTTCTCTGCACCCATACAGACATATAATTATCTTTGTATCTGAGAATTTCAAATAATTGAGACTAATAAGATCATGTAGTAAGAAGAGAAGAGTTGAGATACTCAACTTCTGAATAAACATCAATTATGTCATACTCCATATCCAGTGCTTTCCACACTATCAGTAAGGGAGGCAGTGAAGGAAATGCTTTTCATACAGTTAATGCTACTGTAGGGCTGCTAATGCAAGGACTTCCTGACTCATCAATTAAATATTGAATTTGCCTTTTAGACTTCACTTATCTTCTAATGCAATTCCTATCTTCTCTTTTTTTGGTCCACTCAGTCACCACATCTTATGTTTAAATTGTACTGTACTTTTTTTTTATTTTAAACATTGAAGACAACAGAATCAGCTGGTAATGATCCTTATTTGGTGTTTCTTTGTGTTTTAATTATGTTACATAACATGAAGTTTCTGCATGGGTTTTTGCAAGAGAACAAAACATGGCTTTCTGTTCTTAATCTCGCTATTCTGATGATGGATGCTAATACCCTTTATGAACCTTAAACCACTAATATTAACTGGGAAATGAGAATACAACCTGATGTCATACAAGCTTAGATGAGAGAGACTGGAAATATTAATCAACAGGAAGCACAGCATAACAAGAATTCAGCTGGAGGCACTATGTCAAATACACCACAACTATGATCAAGATATAGTATCTGACCAGCCACTGAGTATCTTGACACACAAAGGAAGTATTTTCCTGGAGAATTACTGTTGGAAACAAAAAATGTATCCTCAAGCTATCCCTCCCTTTTCCAGGCATCATTGCTAGTTTTCTCTGCCATGCTCTTCTAATCTTTCTAAAAGAAATGCTCATTGCAGTAGAGCAAAAATACCCAGAAACTTTTGGGTTCTTCCCCCTGAAATGATAGAATTCCAAGCTGTTGGATTGCTTGTGTTAGGTAGCATCTCATGAGACATAACTTTCCCTGAAGAACTAGCTATTTCATGCTGAGGTGTTTCCATGCATTATTTTTTATTAACTGTTTGATATCAATAAGTTGCTTTCCCTATGTTTCAAATATGTTGTTTAGCTGATACGCTGAGTTGTGTGAAGACTATTGCCTTAATTTGTTTTGTTTTCTTTGAAGAAGTGACTGAAATATTCTTGAAACATGTCTGTTTGATATCAATCCTTTAGATTGCCATGAGGAAATATAAAATATAATTTCTCCTTTTCCACTCCAGAATCTCCACAGAGCTAAGCCTCCACGCTCAGGAATTCAAGAAGGCTTTATCCAGTAAACCTGGCATCAGCCTTGGGTGAAATAATAGCAAAGTGGATCTGGAGATCAATAGCTAAAGAACAATACAAAAAAATTGATCAGTGTGGTCTACAGAAAAGTAAGTTTAACAAATAGTCTGAAATTCATCATTTGCCTATTATAGTATAGCTCAGTAACATGGCATCAGTATCTTTTAAAGATATTGAAAAGATAAAAAATGTGGATAAGAATCACAATTACATTGAAACCTAAAGGAAAGGAGAAGTTGTCGAGGTACAAAGGCCCCAATACTAGAATGTACCAACTAAATTAGTGAAGATATTACAAGAACTGGTGAAAGGAAACATAAGCCACGCAAAGAGACTTAAACTTTAACAGTTTGTGTAATTTCCCTGTGAAACAAACATGTTGGATTCTCCGTCTTTTTGTGTCTGAAGATCAACACTTGGCACCTTACCACAAGTTATACATTAGAACAAAGTTTTGTGGTCAGTGTAATGATAAATGGTTGATATTTATTGATCTGTAACATAAACGTGAAAGTGGAGCTTTCATGCAATTAATACATGCTAAATGCTCTCCACCCCTCATCTCTCTCCCCAAAGAAACATTTGGCAAAGTGTTACTAAAAGGCTGGGGGGAAATACCTCTCTGGAGACACTAAAAAACTACCTGGATGCGTTCCTGTGTCACCTGCTCTAAGTACCTTGCCTTGGCAGTGAGGTTGGACTGTATGATTTCCAGAGGTCCCTTCCAACCCTAACTATTCTGTGAAAAAAAGCATGAAGTCTTTCTGTCACCAATTATGTGAGATAAAATAAAACATGCCAGGTTACTTAGTGATCGTGGTTCACGACCTGGGGGCATTCAGTGAGTAGGATTCTGTGATGTGATGGGGTGCTATGATTTCCACAGTTCACTACACTGTTTGCCAGCTCGAGATGCTAAGCCAGGGTCTCCTCTTTCTTATTACATAATGTTTGTATACTTGTCATGCAGCTGCATCTCAAATGATGCATGACATGTGGGAGTTAAAGAAACAAAGCAAGGCTTGGACATGGCTTTAAGAAGCGCTCTCCCTCTTGTCTTCTTTTAGTAAAGGATGTCTGGAAAGAAGGATCGTGATAAGGAGAGTTGCACTGCTCTTGAATTGATTGATTTCAAGAATGCTTTGGAGCAGTTCCAGAATCTAGTTGAAAAAATGATCATCCAGAAGACCAAGGAGAGTTCAGACTCATATATTAAAGATGATGGTGAGAGATATTAATTCAGATGGAAAAGTGTAATTTTCACATGGAGAGGACATATCATAGAAAGATTATAATTTCCTTCAAATTAATGTCCTAACTGTAACTATTTGATTTTTGCAGGAAATAGAGAGATTGCACTGTGAAAGTTCTTTTCTCCTCCTGTTAGGATTTCTGGCCAAATTATGAGGCTATGGTGATCACTCAGAAAATATCATTGGTGCAGCTGCCACATTTAGAAGTTAGCATGATGCTAACTTGTTTCCATAAAAGCACAAACTTGATGAATTATGTAAATACAATTACTAATTGTAAATAATGGGGGTAAAATTTTGCTTTTCTCAATGCAAGTGGCTATTGCTTCTTGAAAGGATAAACTTTATCCCACACAACATTCAGGTTCAAAAAAAACCAGATCAGAGTTATGATAAGTAAGGGAAGAAAAAAGAACTGAGAAATTTGTATTGATTCTTTTATCTGTTTCCTGTCATGCATTGCAAATTAGGTAGTTTTGAAAAGAGCAAATACTAGGACTGATTTTTTCTTTTCAAATGCTTTAGTGAATACAATGTGAGAAGCTGTAACTTGCATGTTATTGGTATTGAAGGAGAAATAAAACCAGAGGTAGGGTGGATAAGAAAGGAATCTGCAGCTTGCCAGTTTTAAACTGTATGGACATTGTTCCTCCCATACAGAAGAGATAGACTATGAGAAGTTCCATACAACCATACGAACACTTTTTGGTCCAGCAGTCAAGGATCAGAATGTTCAGGCCTTTTTCAGGAAGGTTATGAGCAACCCTGATGAAAAGCCAGAATGGCTTGAGGTAAGTATTTCTAAAGTTTTCTTGAATATGAAAAACTAATTAGAATTTTAAATGGTGACAGTATTTATCTTTTGATTGTGTGTTGTTCATGAGTCTGTTGTTCATGTCCTCCATGGCATAATGAGGCACTCTCTTATTGTTATTTATCCTAGCTGCCTGAAGCCGGGATGTATTCAGGTCTTCAGAACTGCTTCAATTATGTGCACTGTCTTCAGGCTTCTTGACAAAATGCAAAACCTCTTATGACTACAGTATGCCATTCGTGCTCTGAGGATAAGTCTATCTTTAGCTAAACCTTCAGAAATGCTTCCTCTTTTTCTCCTTTCCTCTCTTTTCTTACCTCTGCTTCTTTGCCTTTCTCTTCCCCTGTTCACAGCATGAATCTGGCCCTTACTTTGAATATGAAGCGTTAAAGGTAGAGCAGTATTTTGCTAGAGTTTTTTAACCAGAGAATTCTGCATATATTATTGAGTCCTGTAGATGAATGAGATATTTGTAATCAATTTTTCAGTCTCTAATAGTGGTAAACTGCAAATCTTTGTAAAAAGCGTGTAAGAATGAGGTAACCATGAACCAGTAGATCCAATTTACTCTCTTTGCATCTATCTGCACATATCTGAAGGATTTCCTCTGCCAGAGTTATAAATGTACTCTGTTTAATATCCTTTCCTGGATTTTTAATCTATCCTTTTGTAACTTATTTCTGAATCCACCTAAGAAGGTTATCTCCATAACACCTAGGTTTTCATATTTTGTGAGAAAGTACTTTGTCAGGTTTTTTTTAAACATGGCGCTCTTTTTTATTTGCACATGTTATGAGAAATGAATGCTTGCCCTAGAAAGGTGTCTTTTCTTAAGGTATTTCCCATGGGTAGTGTTTCAGGCAACTGTTCTATAAAAATTACTGATTCTTAAATTGTTAGAGCCAATCCTTATCAAGAGCAGCCATCATCATTTACTGCTACAAGACTTGTTTGTTTGTTTCTTACCCAAAGACAGAATTGTGCAGAAGGGACGTAACTTCCAGCACACAGTGACTTTCCTACGATAGCATGGGAGGCATTGTATACATGGCAAATCCTTGCTGGACCTAAAGTCTTGGGACAGGGTATTAGCAAGTGACATGAACTATAAATTTGTCAGCATATTTACATTTTACGTTACTCTGGAACATCATGGTAATATTGGAACCTTGAAGATACCCAACACCTGTTCCTTATATGTTATCAACAATTGCTATCAAGTGATTTCCTAATATCATCCTAAAAACAGTATGTTCAGCCATTTCTATTAATAAGGTTCTGTATGGGAACATTTCTGGTTACTACCTTTCTTAACCATTGTTTTTACTTACAGTGTCACATTATTCACGGATTTTGCTCATGTTAGCCATTAAAGATCTCCTTCAAGGAGGGCTTGAGGCAAATCTGGAAAATAGGTGACAGTCTGAAGGACTGATTGTCCATTGTTAAGGGTAGCAGAACAGTGGCAAATTATGTTCAGACTCATTAGTTTATAAGAGAAGTAAGGAAAGCTCTGTATGTTTGCTAGGTTGTGGATCATTTACTCCAAAACCTTACTGAATTTCTAATGCAGTCAGACTAGTAACCAAATTACATAAATAATTCAGCTACATAATTACAAAGCAAGCACAGTATGAGGTGTAGAAAAAGAGGTTAAGCCTTTTTAGTTTCCTTTTGAAATCTGTGTGTGATTTCCTTGGGATAAAATTCCCCAGAACCCTTTCTATGAGCATTTCTCAAATTTTACCAAATGTGAGCTGACTAATGACAGTCTTTTAACATGGCTTGTGTATAAACTTTCTTGAAAACCATGGATGTATGATAGCTAGTAATTGTGTATACAGAAGGAGGGAGCTGTGAAGTGAAAGATGAGTAACGTTGTGTGAGAGTATTTTTTTGAAAGACGTCCATATGAATCTCTCAAAGAATGAAAAGGGAGCTCTATTGTATAATAAGAAAATACTGAACTAGAATAAAATACAACATTTTGTCTCCCATCCAAAGGGGTATTGCTTTTAGAACTCATAAAAGGAAGTATCTACAATGTCCATATTATGAGGAAAGAAGCTTAAAAAATCTGTACAGCTAAGTGGAACTAATTTCCTAAAGAAATTACTAAACTACTTTTGGGTACACAGCTTGAGATTTGTAGAGCATTTCAGCTGAAAATTTCACACCCTGGAGCAGAAATAAGCTACTTAACCTGACTATCCTGTGCAGGCATCCTCATAATGTTGAGTACAAATGGAACGTTGTCAGACTTGTAGAGATGGCCAAAAAAGGATTTTTTACGAATTGTCTTTATATTAATTGTTTTTTCAAGCAAATGGGAATCTGCATATCTTTATGGAGAAGCTCTTGTGTGTAGGCCAAACAACTATGCTACATTCCATGTCTCAGTTTATAAATACAGAGTTGTCTGTTTTGTATGCCTTTTGCTAGTTTTTTTTTTCCTAGTTGAGGTAGGTAGAACTGGAAAATGAAAATTGAATATGGTTATTTACAAAGTAAAACTGTACTAACAACTTTAAAAAATGGCGGGCTGTATTCCTAGAAGCCCTGTGTAAGCTGACTTCTTTACAAACATTGAAGAAAGATTCTGCCTGAGTATCAGATCTCAGCAGTCTAAAGTCATATTGACAGCTAATGGCTAAAGCAAATAATACTAAGGTACTTAATGAAAGAATATTAAATGATTAAAATGTGAGATACATATTTGACTTTATACATATATTTTCCAGAAGTAGTTTTACAATAAATTACTTGTTTAGTTCTATTTTGTTTTGATTAGATTTTTGGCTGTTTCACCGGAGAAAGTGATGGCATGTCTTCCCCATCAAAAGAAAGCACGGTTTTGCTTGTATCGGAAAAACGGCAGATTACTCATTCAGGTGGCATACTTCGTCTTACATCAAAAACTATATTTTTTCTAATGCAGTGTGTTTCTCACTTTCTTGAAAGTAGAGTGATAAGATCACATGTCTTTGCTTATTTATGCTTCTTCTTCTTCTTCTGTGTTCCAGAATACGTGGGTTTTTACTGAACATTGAACACTCCACCGCTGCATTTCCCAGTTCTCCATATTCCTAAATTATTTTGAAATTATGAATTTTTTTGAAACAGACTCTTTATTTATGCAGTTACTCATTGTCTCTCTGTATTTTTTGAAAAATATGGAGGAAGAACTGGCATATTCAGAATTATATATTAATGATATTTAAAATGCAACATGATTAAACCAAGTATGGGATAATTTGTTATATATTGCATCACTGCCTTGCATATGGTAATAAAATGCATTTCAAGATGAGAAACTATTCCTACTATTATAGTCCCATTTGTTTATGTTTTCCTTACTAATAGTTCTATTTGTTTCTGTTTTCTGTGTCTGTAAGATGAAGAGTAATATTTTGTTATTGACAGTTGTCAAGAGAAAAGATGTGATCAAGGGTATAGTGAAGGTGCCCCTTCTGCATTTCACAATAACAGCCTCTCAGAGAGGAGTGCTAACTATGTTTAGCAAAAAGGTAAGTCTAAATCAAACTCTTTTATTATTCCATTAGGCAGTACATCGGGGGACTGAGTGGACTGTGATCTAGAATTCAAATTTTCCCATAAAAAACCTACATATCTTTCTTATCAAAGTTAAATTTTTCTTTCTTTTTAAGTACAGCAGGAAGTATGCATTATTCTTTCCCCACAAGTTGATAAAAGGTAGAGATGGCTAATAATAGACATTCTTCATAGAAATTAATTTAATAGCAATTAATCTGCATTTCTGTTTAGAAAATGTTTCCCTAAATAAAAAATATGATATTGGAATTAACTTTTAGATGTAGAGTGGAAATCAGAGAATTAACTATTTTCTACAGTTACTGAAAATATCTAGAATGGACAGAGACAGTTGTTTGCAAATAAGTTTTATTCAATACAGCAACATCTAGAAGCTTGAAAGTCAGGCGTTTTACAAGTCTGCATGACACTCGCTCAGAGTTACCTGCCTCATCAGTAAAATGTAAGGAGATCTGTACCGTTATAAGTAGAAATTCAGGCTTAAGATGCTGTTAAACTGAAGTTTGCACATAAATTCCCAGATGATTATATTACTGTTTAGTGGTATGCACCTGTAGATGCTATGAGATGGAATATGTCATGCAGAAACCCAGGCTATCACACGTCTTTGCTCATTGGTGCTTTACATTTGTACAATTTTAATGCAACCAGTTTCTTAAAAGTTATTTCAGGCAATGCAGTAAAACTTGAAAGCAGCACTAATATTTTCTAGGGGTTCTAGCTAATTAGTGCATAATGCTTATAACAGGATCATTTAAACCAAGAAAGCACTCCTGTGGATGTAAATAACAAAGCAGTACTGCAGTTTTGGTAAATGCTGAAAATTTATTTGAAAGTCTGTCCTCCAGAACGTTATCCCTCTTATGTACCTATGAAAAATAATTTCCCAAATATAAGATTAAAAAGAGCTCTTCTCCCTACCCCTCCACCTGCCCCTGCTATTTTCAAGTTGAATTGCTGCCTGGACTGATGTTATCTGACATCAGTGATCGCAGTGTAAATGATTTTATACTCAGCTGCTTAACACAGTGAATTGAGGACTCAACTCCCACTTAGAAAACTATGTTCTGGAAATGACTAAGGCATTATGACAGCCCCAGGATGTGCCAGGAGAGGATTAGATTGCATATTAGGAGTAATTTCTTTATCCAAAGGGTTGTCCATTGAAACTGCCTAGGGAACTGGTTGAGTCACCAACCCTGAAAGTATTCGAAAGATACTCTGTGTAGAGTGGCCACAGGGGACATGATCTAGCAGTAGACTTGGCAGTGTTAGTTTTACAGTTGGACTTGATCATCTTAAAGATCTTTTCCAGTCTTAATTATTCTATGATTCCATGATTCTATTTGAGGGCTAAGCATTGCTTTCTGCAACAAATGTGGGCCTAATATGACTCAACACCTGTATACAGCTCTACACCATCAGCTACTTCCAAGTTACTCCAGAATATGAGACACTTGAGTTTCTCAGGTTCTCAGATGGATACTGCCTTGACCAGCACATAAGACCTGTAGGAGTAGGCAGCCTTAAGGACACATTTTAGTTACTGTAGATAAAACTAAGTCTTATACAGTGCATGGATATGCATCTCTTGGTTAACAGTACTCTTAAACTCTGCTCAAAGGCTGTCCATGATAACACCTGGCATCTCACTTCTATGGGAAGAAAGACTTTGATCCTAGTTTCTTGGTTTATCAAATGTAGAATTGCTGGGATGGGTATGAGGTGCCATTGAATAATTACTGATGAGGGGCTGAGGCAGGGGCGAGAGGAGGTGAAAAATCATCTGTGGGTGTTTCAGAAGGGAAAAAGTTGAAACTGCTTTTAACAACTTAGTAGTTTTGTTAAAAGACATGGAAGATAACCCTATCTCTGCTGGATGATGGTTTTAACATTTCAGGTTTTGAGCCACGTGTTACACTGTCTTGGAGTAGTTACCTTTGGTGAAAGATGCTGTACCAATGGGGGTATTCCTGTTTGCAGCCTGAAGTGCTGCCTCTGCCGGGGATTTTGCTGGCACTAGTTGGCATGGCATTGGGGCAGCATTAACTTGGGTTTCTATATGACACATCCTGTTTCTCACAGGAGCTGATGCTGCTCTAGATGTCAATAACCATTAAAAGCACAATTCCATCAGAGGACTAGCTAATCTGTACTGTGTACATTGTTAAAGTGAGGGTTTTTTACTTATTTTGCTCACTTCAACATCCCAATATAGAAACCCCAAACCAAACCAGAAACTATGAAACCATTGTGAGGGAAAGATAAGTTTGAAGTTCCTCACAATAAAAAGGGGAACAGACAGCAGGCAGGTTAAGATCTTTCTGAGATCTTAACCACCTCCTCTTTCAGTTAGCACTTAGTTCTGATCTGCCTGTGAAGAGGAGAGATTACTTTGTTTAGACTTCTAATTTAAGAAGTACCTTGTTATTGTGACAATATCTTTCTTGATTTTTCAGATGAAGGTTCTGGCAACCATCGATGTTGAAGTAAGTTATTTTTTGTCTCCTTCCTATTAAATAACTTTAAGTAAAAATCAGCATGTACTAAATTGAAATAATTAGAAACTGAGCATTATTCTAATGCCATTTCTAACTTTGAGACTTCTGCATGATTTTTCATAGGGTGCTGTAGGTCAAATAGTTGCAATTTATTCCTTTCAATTATTGAAACAATTGAGTAACTTGATTTCTTTCCTCTGATAGATGAAACCTTCTTTTTCTGTCAAATTATCCTTGACCCATTACCTTGCCAGAATTTTTTCTTCAAAAATCCAAAACTTCAATTGTCACTGTAGAATTTAAATAAGTAGATTTTTAAGTTTGTTAATGAAAAACAGTTCTACATTTTTCTAGGTAGATGATTGGTTACACAGTGTATACATTAAAACCTCATATTTACCCTGGGAGTATCACTGCAGATTTTAGTTAATGAGCTTCTTTCAGATGACCTGTAGACAAGAGACATCAGTCTTAGCAAAGTTACATGACCCCTTGTCCTAGAAGTCAATATAGGTGTCATGTGCCAGGAGGCAGTGTGTTTTGTTGGTTCTCTTTTACATATTGTGGGAGTTCTAAAATGCAATAGAAGTACTCCACACCAGAGGCCCTACCACTCCAACTCAGAAAACAGCTCTGGGCCTGAGTTGCATTTAATTTATTGCAAGGGCTAATCTGACCTGTGGAATCAGTGCAGAGAGGTAACTCTGAGAAATATTCTTGAGACCAATTGACTTTTGGAAACTTTGACTAGAATTAGAGTTTCTTCTACAGTAGTGCTACAGGAGTGAATTTTAGTCATTCCTGCTTTGCTTGCAGGAACCACTTTCCCCAGTTCAGATATGCAAAGGTAGGATCTCCCTGAGAGACACCAAGGCAAGGATGATGCAGTGGGCTGCAGGGTCGCTTTCCATTCTGAGCACTACGCACTTGTCTTAAAATGATTCCTCTATGAGTGTGAAGGGCTTTTTGCTGTGAAAGTAGGACAATATTTGGCAGCTGTGGCAGTATTAGGCACCATTGAATGACATCTTTGCCATAAAACGTGCAAAAGAAGAATATGTTTAACATAATGGTATCTTCCAGTATAATGGTGCAATATAATGGTACTATAATGGTTAGGATTGTGATTCCTAACAAATACAATACTAAAGCTGGTAGTTTTAGTATCTGTGAGCATCCACTTGTTTCAGCTCTGCATCAGATCTGTGTGGGCAGCCTTGATCTGCTGTCACTGTTGTTACAGGCCATATTCCCATACTTTCCCTGCTGAGATGTTTCCACTTTTTCAGCCTTTCTTAGAGACAGGAAGAAGTAGGTTAAAAATAGTTTGAATTCCTCTCCATCTTTGGGAGGGAGGATCATTGCTCTTGGGGATTATTTGATCAGTTGAGATCATTACTGCTGAACATAATCTCTACTGTAAAGTCTTCCAGGGGAAAGTCTTTGGCTTCCCAGGAACATTTGATTGACTGGGGAGCTGACAGCTGGTGAAAAGAAAGGAGAAACCCATGCCCACAACCTTATGAAATTCCTTTGACTCTATGTCTGAAAGATTTTGTGGTTTTTTTTCTTCTACCTTTGTTGAAGTTATTATATTCACTTTTTTTGTATCAAAGTTACAAAATGTTCAGATGGCTTAATTAAAAATTACCCTTTTCTGCTTTGTGCTCTGCCTTATCTTATGGAATTGGAATTTTTATCTAATATTCTTATTTAGGTGTTTGCATTGAATGGTTCTGCCCTTGCTCAATTTAATTTCTTCTCATCTTTCCTCTAACTACTGTGCTGAAAAAAGAATTGAAGGAACTTTTACTGGACTTGAGGTTCCTGAACTTTTTGATGGTTATTGAAAGATTTTGTTGTTTGTAGGACATAATATTTTAAGCTATGCTGTTCTTTAAATATAAATTCACAAATTGAAATGAAATAAAATTCTGGATTTCTTTGAGATACTAAATACTGCTTTCCAGACAGTTGAAATATATGATGATATTAAATTTGTTAACTTGAGGCTTCTTTGAGAGATTTATCTTTAGAATTTGGTCACAGTTTTTCTAATGTAAAGCATGCTTATAAAAATGGAAGCTTTGCATCTTAATACCTTTTATCTAAACATTTATTAAAAATCAAATCACAATATCTTATAAGAGTGTAAATCATCGCCTACCATTTATTTATTAAAGATATGGTGAACAATGCTAGTTGAAAACTTCAGCATCAAATGATCATGATGTACGACTATGAATAGTAGCTTATGATTAATATCTAAATAGATGAACAGAGAAAGATGACTTTGCCTTTCGGGGCTTACATTGAGTTCTTCTGATCTGCAGAAATAACAGTACATTCCTTTCTCACTATCATTATTACGCCATTTTCAGCTGTTTTAACATCATCATCAATACTGGCATCAATAGCTAATTGATGAAGATATATATTTGTATACAGCTTCCTGCCAATGAAGTAAAGTACTGAATTGAGGACTTATTCAGAGATAAGTTATCAGACTCTGAACCCTCTATTCATTGACAAATACTGATGTGTGTAACAATCCTTATGCTCCTATGCTTTCTTCCATTCGATGTTCTCATTCTTGAGGTGTTTCTGAGTAGAGATCCACTCAAGCAGAGCAGCAGAGGTCTTGGCCCTGAGGATATTAAGCCAGAAAGACTGAATCTCAGTAGTGCTAGAAATAAAATCCAGTGGACTGCAGCCATCAGAACTTTCCTAGCATTGTGATGGTATAAAAGGAACATGAACTATGGGTATATTTGTTACAGGGATGTTATGGAGAACAGGTCACTTCAAGAAAAACTGATTTCATTTCTTGATGAGATTATGTGACTGAGTGAAGAGTAGAAGCGTAAATATAATACACTTAAAACTATACAGTATTTGGCCTAGCACCACACAACATCCTGTTTTAAAATATAACCACTGGACAAAAAATCAGTAGGCTGCATTGGCTAACAATTGTCCAGCTGACAGGTCCCAAAAATAGTAGTCAGCATAGAATCATTGCTGAATGATGGTGGGATTACTAGTAGTGAACAAATTACTTCTTTCAAAAATGGAACTGCAATGTCTTTTAAATATGGCTTAGAAAGGCATAAACAGAGCCAATGGATAAGTAAGGCAAAGTGAAACAGAAGCTGTATTAAAAACAGAGGAGGAAAGGTAAGAGCGCTTGAGTGACAGGATGGAATAAGAAAGTAATGAAAAGGTTGATCTGGTCAGCTGCTTAGTTTGTCTATCTAGTATGGCAGCACTAAGAAGAGAAATTCTTATAACCTTTCCTCTGAAGCTGAAACCTGTTACTTTGACTCCATCATCACAAGCCAACACAATAAATCAGTGACAACTACAAAATTAAAATCATCTTTTTCAAGCCATTTAGTCATTGTTATCTGACACTGTTATAAGAACCTCAAAAAGCCACAGTTAACAACCTCTTCCATAAGAATTGCCAAACAGTCCACAAGGCCTCTGCAGGACTGACATTTTCCACATGTTTATTGCAGTAAAGGGCACAAAAAATCCTTATAAATGTATTACCACTTTCCAACACATCATTAGGAAGGAGAGAAGCTTTCTCCTGCAACACTGTTGATATCCTCTGTCAGGATTTTGGACCCTTTACATTAAGCGCAAAATCAATATTGTGTGCAACAATAGAAATAAAAGTAGAAGCATCAGGAGTCTGATCTATACTTTGCAAGAGAAAATACCTGTATAATAGGAGATATACTTGAACAATGGCTTAATATGGGCAGATGTATATATTTGTAAATAGTTGATCTACCTATTGGGAGAATTAAAATTATTTAATAAAATTACTTATTTTCATAATAATTCATATTCAGTTTTAATTTTATAGCTGCAATTTTGACTGCCTTTAAATTTCTTTTGTTTCAAACCAAACTGTATCCAGGTAAAAGTTTAATCTGCTTTACTATGGATGTTTTAGCTTAAGCTTTCTCTGATCTGAGTGCTTTTCCAGAGTGTCATTACAGTTCAACTAACAGTATATGTGTATTGTGTCCTCTCCTGTGCAACATTTGTGCCTCTCAGGTGAGTCATTGACAACAGAGGTTGAGCTTGGTGCCTCTGTAACTTCATGTATGAGCTATTCCTGGATTTAGAACTCTTAGTGGAACTAGACCTAGCAGGTGGTAGTGCAGAGTATATGTGATTTATGTGGAAATGGTTTAAAATATATGCTTACATGATAGAAAAGTTGATGAATTTACAGAGAAAATCTTTCTTTAGCTACTCTTTTTATTTTTATCAGGATCCTACTTGGATCAATGGATGTGATTTCCTGCCTAATCTGAAATATGTCGTGGCTGTAACTGAAAGCACAGTCATTCTCTGGGACTATCAATCAAAAGAGAGCCAGGTATTATGTTGGATCAGACAAATGCCAAAATTAAACCTGAAAGTTGATCAGTCTTTGTTTCCAATATACCTTCATACCCCTTTGGTCTAACAGGATGAAGGCTTCTAACTTTTGTCTTTGTAGGAGCTCAGTGAAACACTAAAGGAGGTATACTCTCTACATGCCAAATGGGATTATTAAAGTGTATTAAAAGTTTGGAAGAAAAAGAAAAATTTTACACTATGGGGCAAACAAACCTCCAAAGAATTTCTTTTCCTTGTGTATCTAGTGCATACACATGCCCCTGTATACCTAAAATGTGAGCATGGGCATACATATATCTCAGAAACTATTAAGAATCAAGGAACAGGTTTTACAAGAAATATAACACAAATTACGTATTACAAGAAATATAAAATTCTTTTTGAGGTAACTTCCCAATTTAAAGAAAATATTTCTTCATATCCTGTGTTTTGTTCAGGAATTTCTAAGATAAAAAACATTTAGATGTTAATAATATATGTCCAAACTATTAAATTTTTCTTTAGTGTCTCATGAATTTTTACTGACCCATATCTTAGCTTTTTCTTCCTGTTCCTGGGACTTCTCTTTTCCATTTTAGGTTGGGTTGTTGGGGGGAGGCAAGTTTTGTTTTTTGGGTTACGTTTTTTTTCTTTTTTGTTTTTTTTCCAATATTAAAAGGCTGCTTCCCAAGTTCAGACAGGTCAATTTAAGTCTTTTTGTCAATCCAGTTGGACTTCTTGGAAGAGTGCTGAAATATTTAGTCTCCACCTATTATTCTTCAAGTTCCCTCCACTCATTACATCAGTGAGAGCTGCAGGTATCCTGTTGATGAATAGGTGCAGCTCTCTTTCAAGACTACAGAAATAATATATGGACAGTTCTATCTCTATTGTGTCTCTAATGTTTCTGTGCTACACAGAAACACCATTGAGGCAATTAATTCCTATGGCATGTGAACAGCTCCCAGTTTAGGTTGGAAGGATGCTTTAATCAAATAAGAGATGGAATCAGGCAGTAGAACAAATAGTGTAATGCAGATGACCCAAAATCCCATTCCTGCGCCATCTAGCAAAATACCACAGTGTCTTGCAACTGTATTCATTCCCACTATCTCTGTGCTGCAAAAATTGAAACACCTGCCCATATTGGTACACTTGACACTCCCAGGCTGTATTATTTATTAGAACTCTGATATACATTCTCTCTGTTTATTACTGCTATATTTTGTGATGTGAATTATTCTTTAATTTGGTTATTTCCAATTTTCTTGTAGACAGCATCTTATTTTTGAACAGGAAACCATATACAGTCTTAGCAAATACACCATCCCACATAGCATGCAGAGATCCTTCCTAGATTTTTAATTAATACTTTTTCACTGAAATGCAAAATGCTGCCTATGAAACAAAGTCTTGCTGAAACCTCTAGGATTTGCTTTTAACTCCACTTTGCGATGGTCCTCCATGAGTTTCTGATACCAGGAAACAGCTAACACAGGGGCAGCTTGAAAAAAAGAAGTCAAGATTTGAGTGCTGATGTAACTAGATAAGCATGATAGATTCAATTTAAGGGCCCTCATGCAATATCTAATAAACTCTCTACCATATTCCACAGAGTGATGGCTTTGTCATCAAACCAATGAAAAACTGTCTGCTCTGTGTTTGTACGGTGACTATGGCAGATAACCTGGCTAAGGATACCATCTTAATGGGAGATGATAAGGGTTATGTTTATCTGCTTACGATCACCAATGATGACTTCATAATGAAACAATCTAGAGCCGAAAAAGAATCACAATTTAAAGTCTTGGACTCTGAATCTTTTGACATGTAAGTTGCTTATGATAAAATATTACTAGTCTTCTGTTACGTTTTATTTTTAATTTGGGTTTTGTTTGCCCTAAGTGGAGGCTAAGCTTCTGTTTATAAACTAACCCCATCTAACCAAAATAATGTTTCAGACTGCAGTAAGTATGATTTGCTTGTCATTGCATAAAGGAAATGCCATCATTTTCAGTTGAATATTTTACAAGAGATCTTACAACTGAGAGGTTGCAGAATACAATTCAAGGGGAAAATTCACAATTGCTGTTATCCAGTTTGACAAAGGATCAGCTTTATTGTGCCCAATGAGATGGAAGCACGATTGTGACATGCATGGTTCAATCCTGACTTTATCTCTGCTTGCATTTGAGCTGGAAGAGTGGTTCTGTATCTGCCCTGAATATTAAATGTTAGCATTGGTTGTATATATTGATGTATATAATCTCACTGACAAAATCCCTGTCCACCTACGGACACATCACAGTAGTTGCTACTGTAGCCTAATAACTTCTCCATTTATATCCTTAGTCCTAAACGCAAGCTGCATGATGACTGGGTTGGGAAGATTAGGTATTTTTCAGCCCTAAAATGTTTTGGATCCTGCTCCACAGACAGTATTAATTCATTTATTTTGGATGACATAAAGCGACTGGAGGACCACTTGTAAGTATCTGACATCTTCTAGAAAACAATAGATCTTCTGCTTTATATCTCTGCTAGAGATCAGTGCCTCATAAGATGTGATCTTGTTGTATTGAATCTGCCTTTTCTACTAGCATTGCTAATAAAAAACAAAAATACATTTGTTTAAATGCTTGAATATTTTGGTGTGCTAGCTTTTGATGTGGGAGAGGACTGTCCATAGATGTTCAGTACTCACAGCCCTTAAAATATGTTATGTTGACAGTGTTGTCTCCTCCAATTTCTCCTGAGCAAGCAAATTTTAGTTAGAAAATTTATTAGTTATATGTATTGGATACCTATATCATGTATCCATTCATTTAAAATTTATACCCAGTCAAAAATAAACTCAACTAAATTTCATTTTCAGTTGTATTTTCACAAGTTTGAATTAAACAAGACTAAACCAAGAACACAATTTATTCTGAGGGCTGTGAAGTGGTTCTACCATGCAGCAGAAAAGAGGTTATGGCCTCCTTATTTGTGCCAAGTCTTTATTCATATGGCTCATCAGTGATATTAGCTGATTTTACTGATTTCAAGCCTAATTAGTCTGTGAATTTAGAAAAATTTATAGCACGATTATATAAAACAAATTCAGTTTGATGTAAGAAGGACCTATAAATAACGTACAAATAGAACTTCTCATTCAAATGTTTCAAAAGATTGTAAATATTAGTTCAGCTTCTCAATTCTTCTGTGAGGTACATCCAGAGAGATTAATAGATTTTTAAAGCTAGTAGCTACAATTATTATGATCTGTTTTATTTCTTGTATAACACAGGCTGTAAATATTCTTGTAGCTATTCTTGAATCAATACAGTAAGTTTGGGTTTTATGAGTATTGCATGTCTGTTGAGGATGGGGAAGGTGAACTATGAAACACTTTGATTGTCCAAGGTCACATACCATGTCAGCTGAAAAGCTGAGAAATCCTGTTTGTTTTTGTTGGGAGCTTTGGAAAAATAGAATTAGTTAGAAGAGAAAGAAGACTAAGTCTGCAGAGCCAAAAGCCTAGTCTAAAGAGTAGATGCTACTGTCATACACTTCAATGCAGAACATAAACTGCAACTATCTTGGTAGTTCTTTTTCATTTCACACTGGCTATAGTTGCATCTCCAAATGCAGTAAGTACATACCTCTAAGTGGTTTCTCACAGTAGATAGACGAAATTATAATTAGACAACTTAAAAATTACACAGCTATTAAAATGAAATTAATAGTCCTAGAAATATCTATAGATCAAATCACTTTGTAATGTCCATTTAATAAGTAACTAGTTTAAAAATATGATTTACTGATTCTAACAAAAGGAATTTCCCCAATTAACTTTGTACCAAGGTATTGTTATTGTACTCAAAGAAGGATGTAATGCATCTTCTCTCTTAAGGGACTTAGGTTTGTTTGCCAATAATGGCTGGTGAACAGCTATAATATTTTTTTAAAGTAAAGTATCTAAAAAAGAGAGGTATGGATATAATGACAAGGTGCTTCTCTTGCAAGGCCATGGCTTGGGCAGGACTTCACAGTGCCAGAATACCTTATTCCCACTGATCTTGGAGTAGTATCAAGACTTCATTAAAGAGCTAATGAACAGTTATATAGAAGTATAAAAGGTGAAAAAACCTTATGAAATCTGTTAATCATTCATTTAAATTAATTAATTGTTATTTTGTACTGTCAAGAGAATTAAGACTTCTCTATTAGACCTCTGGAAAGAAATCTTTTCTTCCTCTAAATGATAGGAAGCAAACAACATTTTATATACACCTGCCTAGAAATAACAAGCTCTTTCATTAATCCTCAAAGTTTCCAGTCTTTTGTCAGATTTGCTGCCACCCGTATTTACAGTTTTCAATATTATTGGCTACTCTAGCCCAGGGTAGATGAACTAATACTTGTCTGAATTTCAAAGGAAAAAATTATTCTCATTTAGTTCTCAGTTAGCTTATTTACACTGGCAGTCATCGTTTCCTGGGAACGATAGGTGTTAATGCTGCTTTTACTACATCCAAAACTGAACAAAATATTTACTCATTGGTACCAATGGATGAAACTTGGAGAGACAAGCAGAAGTTGATCAAAGGATTTAGAAAGTTTTAAAGGATTTAGAAGGGGCAATGAGTCAATTTCAGTCTGTGTTGGCTGTTTGAATTCCCATGCTTTGAATGGGAATGGAAGCAGTAAACGTAATAGAATAACTGTTGAGTTTCAGATACTTGTGGTCTCTTCCTGTAGTCCTACAATGCAAAATAGATCATATAAAGACTATTCATGATACAGTACATTATACAGAAGCAACCGAAAAGTAACTGCACTTGCTTAATGTAGCACTGAGATCACAGTAGACCTCCATGTCTGAAACAGGCAGACAGTTTCTGTGGTACCTCCTCAGTGATGAACTGCTTTAAGCACACAGACTTGTGTACAGCCTACTTTGGTAACAGCTACCATTTTAGGAGTCTATTTGGAGTTTGCCTGTTAAAAGATTCAGGTGTGCAGATCAGATATTTATTTCTTTAATGGAAGTGCACTCTGTTCCTATTTCGTTGATGCCAGTATCCCTCTAAGTCTCTGTTATAAATCAATTTGCTTTTAACATGAGATTGCATACATTATGGAAACAGCTGTTCTGTATACTACAGAAAAATAAGGCAGAATGACTGTAGACTGTGTTTTCCAAATATTTCTTACATGATTGTTTTATTAATGATTGCAGACCTGTAAAGGAATTTTCTGTCCCTAAAGGAGTAAATGCCTTCACATACTGTGGAAAGGCAAAAGTCATTGTCACTGGAGGTAAGTATTGGGTTTTTTCCAAGAGATTGTTCTTGGAAAAAATTGTGAATTTTTTTTATTTGAGTTAAATAAGATCAAATAAAGCTGAGTTAGCATCTTAAGAATTTCAACATTGGCTTCTGGCTACAATTAGAAGAAACAGAGGCCTTGCTTTTAATTGCTGTCAGCCATTGTCTGAAGAGATATACTTCCTGACAGGAGTCTGTCAAGGGCTCCATCTGGGTTTGATTCAAGTATCATTTATATAATAAAACAGAAGGAACAGTATGTTCGACTACTCTAAGGTATCTTTTCAAGTCACAGTGGCCTTGACCAGGTTATACACATTATTCCTTGCAGTTTCAGCAGAACCTCCAACCTATTACTCTTTCACCATCCTTTGGTATCTTAAGCAGTCACATTGGCCCATCTTAATACTTTGCATTGGTCTCTCTGATCATGTTTCCCCAAAATGTTACTGTTTGTTCTTTCTCCCAAAGGAGACTGCAGAAATGGCACTCTTACATCCACTTCTTCCCTGTTATCCAATAATTTTATGGACCTGTCTACTGTAGTGGTCGTGTTTGATGCTGCAGAAATGTTGCTGGATTATGGCAGCAATCTTATTTATATATTCTGTTTGATAGGATGGTGCCCTCAATTGGTATTGATGCTGCTTTCTTCAAGTCTTTATTGCTTAAAACTTTGTTAAAAAATGCAATAGCAAACATATGAATTCCTATATCTATATGCAACAAGAACTAAAAAAATGGCCAAGACTCTGCTGTCCAGCCTTGATAATACACATGGCAATATATGGGAAGTAAAGCAATTCATGTTGAATTGTAACTGTTTAACAAAAGGAAGACTGTGAAAGGTATCAAAATAAATATCAGGCAGTTCTATTGATTTTCTGGACACAAGATTTAAAGGAAAAGCAATACAGCTGTAGAAGGGGTGTTAGTGAAAATTCTGAGGTTTAGCCTTGGAGGAGATACTGTTTACACTGATTACCTTGTCACAAAAAAAAGTAGTCTGGGGAAATTTACTGATGACACAAAGTAGGGAGGTCCTCTTGAACAAATGTGGTCAGTATTTCCTACAGGGACAACAGGAGGATTTTGCTGTAGTAATAAAACCAAAGTGGTCTGAATAGGAAAGAAGGTCAATTACACAGGAACTAGAAACAGTTTCTTTTATACACTGAAAAATCTTCTTCCAGAAATAGCAGAAGAGAAAGATCTGGATAAACTTTCTAAGAAAATTGTAGTAGCGGTGGTATGTCGGACCAAAGGTCTGCCTAATGCACTCACTCCCCTTTGTCAGTGACCAGCAGTAAACACTTGTGGCACAGAAGAGGAATAGGACAGTCATGCAGCAACACTTGCCCATGGTACACGTGCTGGTTCTGTCTTGCTCGTATGAACCACGTTTGAGAAAGATTAGTTGAATATAGAAAAAGTGTGGGGAAAGGTACCCATAATGGTCATCGAATCCGACTCTTTAGTGAATGGCCCATAAAGTGACTGAACTCACAGTCTTGGTGTTTACAGCAGCAGGCACTAACCAATAGAGCTAAGCTCTAACTGCACCATTGTGCGGAGATTAAAAAAGTATATTTTCTATAACCTAGAAAAGTGACAACAAGGAATACCATTGATGTCTATTAGAGCAAAAATTAGAGCAGTGATGTGATCTGATTAGTGGCAGTTGCAAAAAAAAATACTGTCAATTTAAAATGGAGCTTGGACTTTTGAAAATATTACATTGAATACTTTTTTTGATGGTTGGAGGATAGACTTAGAATGCAGGAGCTTCTATCCCATCCAAACAGATCCCTAATCAGAACATTTTAGAAGCAGATGAGTTTTCTTAACACTGAATTCTAATTTGTTTTGACTTTCACTGCACAAAAGTACTGAAAGTGTAAGCAACATGGAAAAGTTTAATAATATTGTGTTTAGGGACTCTGTAATGATGATTTTGATGATTTTTGAAGAAGTTTAAGAAGTTGTACTTACTTCTAACAATCTTCCTGTCCATTAATATTTACATACCCTTGAGCTGGAATCCTGTCTTGCTTATTTACCCACCATCCTTCATCTTATTATTGAAGGGCATCCTCCTGCCTCTCACCCTCCTTCACAAAGCTTAGCCCTGCTGTTCCCCTTGAATATGAAAGGAAATTATTCCTGAGCTGTATTACGAAGAGTCCCAGAACACAGTTGGAATGCATGTCCAAAGACAAAGACAGAGTGGGGTCATCTCTTTCAGTTTCACTGTGAAGTTAGATCAGTCAGGGCCTACTATGAAGCTGCACCCAGAATTTAAAATAATGCTACAGGTCTTGAAAGACCCCCCTACTAAAGCCTTCAAAAGCTGAGCTGTAGAATTCTGTGCTCTGTTAATAGAGTACACTGCTCACATTGGCACAGCACACTGTCAGGCTGGAGCACACTACATTCGCCTCTGTATCTTAAATGTAATCTCACTGTTGACTAGTTGAGAAACACTGATGATCCAGTTAATGACAGATTTAAACTAAAACTTCAAAATTAAAGTAAGATAGTTCTGTTAATTAGGTAGCCTGCAATTTTACCTGTAATATACCCTAAAAATGAGAGACCATAACAGGTAAATAATTCAGATAAATAATCATAATAATTCAGGTAAATAATCATAATAATTCAGGTAAATAATCATAATATATAAATTTCTTGGTGACATGTTCAAACATTTGTAAAAAGCTATGTTTGTTTGTCTCATTTGGCAATTGACATAAAAGAAAAATACAGCCTTTGATTGCAGGCTAGCTTCTAAAGTATTCAGCAGGGATAAATTGGCTAAACATTTTAGTAAGCTCCAATTTAATGTTATTTAGCCAGGTGTTTGTAGCACAAATGGAATGTTACATACTGTGATAAATTATTACTGTGACTATTAAAGAAGTCTTATTTTGACACACTCTACCATCATTTATTTGTATTTGGTTGTGCTCTTGAGTTTGTCAGTTCTGTGACACAACCTAATTTTGTCTTCTAGATATTTTATATTTATAAAAATGAAAAAGATAAAAACAAACCTGGTACTGAGTTTTTCGTGGTAAAGGCTAGAATTCAACTAGTAAAATGATAAAAGCCTGATAGTGGTCTAAAGTATAGAGCCCAGAAAAGTTTAAAATAACTTCTCTGTGTAGCATTTTGCATTAATATTACACTGAGTGGTAAAGTTACATGGTTTTCTTCTTATTCTGTATTAATTTCAACTTCTAACCATATTAGTTCTTCAAATCTGGCTGTTGTTTTCCTGTAGGCAATGAAGCAGAAGAAAAGCTATTAGTGATTTCTAAATCCTAGCAATAACAGATTAAGACCAGTAAAAGGAACGACTCTGTGCTTGTTCAGTTTCTTTTGTGAATTCCTGGAACAAGTATATTTTCAGGAATTCCCAGGAATCCCAGTAATAGAAATGGCCAGAACTCTTCTAAGATTAGCTCTCAGAAGCATAGCAAATTCTTTTCTATTATGCAGTCTTAAATACAAGAACAGACAAGGAAACACAAAGAAAAAACAGTATGATAAACTAGTTCACCAGATGTCTGACTGTTATGAAGACGTTTTGCAGACATTATAAGGCAAGGTTATTTGAAAGACAGATTTGAAAGAAGGACAAGTTCTTTTAAAGGATAAAGAGTTTCTGTGTGAGAGTAGCAACATAGAAAGAAGCCAGGAGGTATATTTTTCATTTACAGTCTATTGAGGATGCCAGGCTAAGCCTAGTATTTCTCCATTCAGATATGTTATTGTTCTCTAGTGGTTTTCAACACCACTGAAATGCAGACATCTCAGCAGGCTTGTAATACCACACAAATTGCAAAACTATGTCAGCAGGAGAGATAGTTTGACAAAGCATCACATGTTCAAAGAAGATATTTGAGTCCATAACATCTAGCTAGAATAGAGCTGTGGCTGTAGAATCTCACTTCCAAAAAAACTCTAAGCATCTGTTTTTATAATTATTTAACATGGAAAGAACCACACACAACTGAATCTGTTTTGGTTCAAATCACTGATTCCACAAAATCATTAAAAATTGCTGTTGAATAGATCGTCTAATTCAAGCTTTTCTTGAATGTGCTTGGTACCCACACTTTCAGAGTTCTGAATCCTGGAGGCATATTTGGAGCATGGAAAGAACAAATGTTCCAGGAAATGTTCCAGTGTAGCAGTGAATGTTAGGGCCAATCTGGCATTAGTCCAGAAAGAGAGAAGAGAGCACATTACTATAATAAAATCTACCATTATCTCCACATCAGTAAAAGGAATTAAAATTTATCCGCTATTTCACATGAAAAGCAAACAGTATTTTTCAATGTAAGGAAGGGTTTTCTTCCCAAATGTCACTTGATCTTCCTGTTAATATCTGAAGTAAATGACATATAATTAGTGATTCTACTCTTAAAAGAAACTCTGTGCCAGAATTAAAGGGCACTGTCCTCCCCTTCAATCATCTGCCATCACTTCAGGAATATAAAGAACAGAGCAGTTAGGAAGACCAGGAAAGGTTCTGTTCCTCAGAAGTGCAGCCAGCAGGTCGTCAAGTTGATCAGATATTGTCAACAGCTTCTGCCCAGTTCTCCACCATCTTAAGACATGACAGTGTCCATCTGGGGTTGGTAAGGGGTATGTTGTTGAAGCAATGTCTGTTTCCTCTAATACTGTAACCAATCTCACCAGTCTCACTGGAGGCTTCTGGCAACTGTATTTCATGTCCTTCTCATGGGAGGTCTGCAAGCTGAGTTTTACTCCCATGGACATGTTTCACCCTAAACCCAAGGGTTTCACAAGGGTTCTGCTAACTTGCAGGGCATGTCTGGGACAGCCTAACACAAACTCTGAAGAAGTGAGCAGGGACATCCACCACATTCTGGAGTTCCCCCATCCAAAAGGGTTTCATAAACCATTTGTGCAGTTATAACCTATTTAAGCTACTTTCTGCCATGCTAACAGCATATAGATTGTCTAAAGTAGTTTTGCATAAAAAAAGAATCTCTTTCCCTGGAAGTTTCAAGCCAGTCAGCTACTTACACATGGCCTTCCTTGCCTGTGCAGAAGTTCTGCCTTCATTGTACTGGTACAGCTGTTTGCATAGTTGAATTCTCAGTCACACTTGTGAAATGAACCTGCATAAATCAAAATGTCTTTCTGTTGTAGCTATTTTAAGAGTAGATGATTCCTTCAGAGAGCATCTCTCATTTAGAGAGAAGCCACATAAACAGTAGAATCAATTTTACTGAGAGAACAATATTGTTTAATGGTGGAAAAGGGAGATGGGGTGCTCCCAAACAAATCACATATTGCTGCATTAAGAAGGAAAGGAATAGATTTCTGGAGAGAGAAATGGAGTGGCTGACTAATGACAGTAGGTTGAACAAGCTTAATGAAGATTATTAACATAATTGAGCTGAGCGCTTAACATAATTGAGCTGGTTCTCTTAGGGCATATACTTCCTAGTCTATAGTTCTTTTGCTTTTTGCTCTTCAATTTAAGCTGAGAGAAATGTAGAATTCAAACAGAAATCTAGACAAAATGTGGCTGTTTCATTTCTTGTGTGTAAAAATAGACTGTTCAGCTAGATGCCTATAATTTGTACAATTGCAATATTTGCCAGGAATTGGAAGTTAAAATACATTTTTAACATCCTTGTGTTTTGAAGTATTTATGGAAACTATTAGCAAAATAGTACCAAACATTCACCTCTATTCTCATTTACTTTACTAAAAACTCAGTCATCAGCAGTTACTGTTTTCTGTCTGTCCTCAACTTTCATGCCCACTCCTTTCTGCATGTTCACCTTCCTCCTCCTTTGTGTCCTGGTTAGCTGGACACAAAATTTTTTTACACTTTTCTAAATTACATCATTGAAGGAATCAAAATATGAGCCCCAGTTGTATTTCTATTAAAGTATTCTGCTCCTCTGGAACTAGACCATGTAGTCCCATTCAGTGTCCCTGCCATTCCTTTAGCAAAACAAAAAGGCTTTGAAAAGCTAATCACCAACTTATGAACACTAAGCTCTCAATTACAAAGATAATTTGTAATACAAGTGACTATTCAATCTTTCTGTCTATATATTCTTTTTTTATTTCAGGTAATGACAGAATCCTTCGTTTGTGGAATCCTGTAGTTAATTTTAGTCCTGTGGGGAAGCTATTCGGACACAAACATAGTGTTGTGGAAATTGTGACAAATGAAAAAGATCAACATGTCATCAGCCTTTCCTGTGCAAAGGTAAAACACTTTTTTGAACCTCGAGGAAACAGGGATGGAAGAAGGATCCAGGGAAGTCCAGGCCTGTCAGCCTAGTCTCAGTGCCCTACAAAGTTATGGAAAAGAAGATCTGGAATGCAATCACACAGCACATACGGAACAACCAAGGGATCAGGCCCAGCCAGCACAGTTCAGGAAAGGCAGGTCCTGCCTGCCTGACCTGGTTTCCTTTTATGAGCAGGTAACCAACCTGATCAAGGCAAGGGCAAGGGTAAGGCTGTGGATGTTGTCTGTCTGGACTTCAGCAAAGCCTTTGATACTGTCTACCATGGCATTCATCTGGAAAAGCTGTCAGTCCACAGCTTGCACAGGTGCACCTTTGCTGCACTAAGAGCTGGTTGAATGGCCAGGCCCAGAGAGTGGTGGTGAATGATGCCACATCCAGTTGGTGACCAGTCTGTAGAGGTGACCCCCAGGGATTAATACGGGGTCTAGACCTGTTCAATATCCCTATTGATGACCAGGATGAGGGAACCAAGTGTGCCCTCAGTAAATTCACTGACAACACGAAGTTGGGGGGATTGTTGATCTGCTGGAGGGGAGGAGGGCTCTGCAGAAGCATCTGGAGACTGGATTGATGGGCCAAGGCCAACAGTATGAGCTGCACTTTGACCACAACAATCCCAGGCAGAATTACATGCTTGGGAAAGAGTGGCTGAAAGCTGCCCAGCAGAAAAGGACCTGGGATTCCTGGCTAGCAGCAGCTGAACTTGAGCTGGGAATGCGCCCATGTGGCCAAGAAGGCCAATGGGATCCTGGTCTGGATCAGCAATAGCGTGGCCAGCAAGACCGGGGCAGTGATTGTCCCCCGTACTCAGCACTGGTGAATCCACGTCTCAAATCCTATGTTCAGTGTTGGGTCCTCACTTTAGGAAGGACATTTGAGGTGCTGGAGCGTGTGCAGAGAAGGGCAATGGAGCTGATGAAGAGTCTGGAACACAAGTCGTATGAAGAGTGGCTGAGAGAGCTGGGGGTGTTTAGCCTGGAAAAAAAAGGAGGCTGAGGGGAGATCTTATCACTCTCTACAACTGCCTGAAAGGAGGGTGTAGCCAGCTGGGAGTCAGCCTCTTTCTCCAGGCACCTAGAAATAGGACAAGAGGAAATGGTCTTACACTGTGCCAGGGGAGGTTTAGGTTTAATATCAGGAAGAATTTATCTACAGAAGAGGTTAGTAAACATTGGAATGGGCTCCCCCAGGAGGTGGTGGAATCACCATCACTGGAAGTGTTAAGAAACAACTGGACATGGCACATAGTGCCATGATCTGGTTGACAGGGCAGTGCTTGGTCAGAGGTTGAACTCGGTGATCTTGGAGGTCTTTCCAGCCTAAATGATTCTGCGATTCTGTGAAATCAATGTTACAAATTCAAGTAGGAATCTATTTTTTAGTAAGTACTTCTGATAGCAATTGGTTATCAGTTCATTTATTGTAATAAAAAGGCTTTTAAGTTAAAATTCCCAAATTATTTTATGTTGAGAATTAAGACTAGAATGGAACTATTTGACATATTGTCTTCACAAGTGTGACAAAAGAATGCTTACAATAGTAGATATTAGCATTCTGATAATTTCTGTATTACTTTATCAACTGACAGATTTAAAACAGAACCTCGAATGCTTCATTCAGTAGTGGTCGCCTGCAAAAATTTCCTACAGTTCTTTTGCACTTCTGTCTTCCTACCAGCCTACTAAATCCATAAGGTGGAGTTTTTCTGGTGTCTCTATATATCATGTTCTACTATTGATCTCTTTCTAACCAGTGCCTTTTACAAGGCTTACTGATCCAAAGGATTGACCATGAGCAGGACTGCTAATAAAATCAGTAATAACACAAGATTCTGCTGGAAAGAGATGGGTATACGAGAAGTGATTGGTGGAATCATGCTGTTGGTTATTTTTATGATTTGTCAAAATGAGACTTCTCAGGGAAGAATAAAAACTTCTATGAATACATGCAAAAATAAAAAGAAGCTCCTGAAGGAGTAGCGAATGGCTATAGAACTCTTTCAAGGTGGTCCAATGCCATATTTTCAATATTTAACAATATTCAATATCGTTATTAGCATCTACAATGATGGAGTGGAGAGGATGGATATTAAATTAACCAGTTACGCCAAACTGGTTAAAGCTGCAGTGCTTGAGCAGAAGTATTAGACTTCAGAATGGTCATGAAAATCAAAGGTATGATTATGAAAAACAGCTTCTATGAATCAATAAGGACCTAATGTGATTAGTCCGCTGAGATATCCTTCCATCTCAAAGGTTTCCAGATTTTTATTGAGTTATATACGAAATATTGCTGAACTATGTGTCCTGCCCATGTCACTCTTCTGCTATAATTGCTTACCACTACTCATTGTGGTGGCAGTAAATACCACATTTTCACTTCTTTAATCTTATTCTTTAAAAAACCCCACACATTTCTAAAAGTAATACTAGCTGAAAATAAATTATAAAAATTTCCTATCTTCACATAATCCTGGAGCCATAACCCTTCCCCCTTCCTCACTCATATAAATCTATACCTGTCTGTTCTGTAGATAACTGTAACTTTGCTACAGGCATAGATTACTGTGAATTAAGGAGGGTTTTGACAGCCTCAAGCTATACATGTAGGAAAAATGAAGTAAGATGTAAGACATGACTTAAAGGGAATGAATGAACATTAAGATATTTATGAAAAAGCAACTGAGAGTGAAGCCCTTGGGGCACTAAATGAGAAGATCTTTTGAGGGCCCTTCTGGGCTTTTCTATGATTCAATAGGATGATTTATAAGAAAGCAAAATACATTTTAAAAGTCTCTAACTATGTGGACACATGAGATCTTAACTAAATATAGCTGAATAGTGCCAATGACATCAGCAAGACCACTTGTACCTGCAAATGAATATATGGAAGTATGTTTTAATTAAAAGCCATGTGTGTTTAAATAGTACAGTGGATTGTAAGGCTGAAATTGCATTTCTCAAAAAAAAATAGACATAAATTCCTGGACTTTCAAGTTGTCAGATAAATCTTTTGGTCATAGTGAAAACTATATAAAAAAAGAAATTACATCTCCTCACAGAGGAGTCTAAACATAGACTTTTAAATAAAGTGCTTATCACTCTGTACCTCAAATACACAATCTATAGAAGAAATATGGTATACCAAATAGCAGAAGGAGGTCAGCTATAACAGGATTGTTTTCAACCTGCTTAAAGCACATTTGTGTTTGGCAGACAAGAACCAGGAATTATATAAAGATGTGTGCAACTTCTCAGGGAACTTTTAATGATACTTTAGCATTTACTTTGTTGCCATCTAAAAAACAAAGACCAACTTGCTTTTCAATCTGCCTAACATAAAAAATCAAAATAGTTTTCTCTGTTTCCATCTTTCAGTGACTGTGATATAGAAGGCCTCTGAAGCAAAATAAGGACAGAATATATATCTTTACTGAAAATAAATTAGAGGCCAGTGATCTCATAGAAGCATTGTATCTCTTAATATAGATTTTACAGTAAGTGTTTGAACAGAACTAGAACTAGAAGAACTAGAAGAAAAGCTTAGGAAAATTAAATTAACACTTCTTCAGAACCTTCCCAAAATTAAATTTAACCTACACTGTATCAGCTATCCATATTAAAATAAAAGTTTTTTTATTGTGGCATTTTCAACTCAAGTTGCAAAACAAGGCAAAAAGTAGGGTGTATTTTTTTTAAAGCAAGATTTGCAATTATTATCTTTGTTAAATAATTGTTTCATTTGAAGATTCAGACTGATTTTAAACTGTATGGCTATTTTTCTTGAACTGTATTGAAAAGTTCCTTCTCATTGTAAAGATGTTTTTTGCAATGTAAAATGTGCTCACAAGAATGTCTCTGCAGCCTGTATACAGTTGATTTGAACTACACAGTTCAAAAGTAAGGGACCAATGACATTGGCTTTTTGTTTCAGCATCAACGTGTTGCAGTCTAAAGAAGTAATGGCTGAATTAAGGGCTCAAAACCTGCAGTGAGTGATTTTAAGACCATTTGTGTCACAAATCTGACACATCTATTACAGGAGTACTAGGAGATTTATTGGATGGTATTAACCTATCGATACTATAGAACACAAATATATATTATGGTTTATACAAAAACATAAAAATGAACAAATCTGAAACTGTGGTTTCACAGCACTAGTGAAAAAAATTAGAGATCAAAGGAGATTTGTATTATAGTGGAAGAGCTGGTTTAGAAGATTTTTAACTCTTAACGGTATGAACATACCAGAGCAGGAAAAAGAGAGTAGATCCCAGGAGAAGGGGAGAGAGGCATCACTGTGTTAACTTTGTGAGGTAGATTCCAAAAGTACAGATTACTCAGCAGGCCTTGGCTCTGTGCAAGCCTAGCTTAGCAACAAAAACATCTCTGTATTATCAACCTGTGTTTGGCACAAAACCAAACACAGTGCCATATTAGCCACTGGGAAGAAAATTAACTCCCACCCCAGTCAAAACTAGTACACTTCACTAAATCAGTTCTGCTTTTGTCAGCAGAAGAAGCATCTGAGCAGTGCTGTTTTCTTCTTGGTGCAGATTTCTTGATTTACTCTCTGGCATTTTGGGCAATATGCAATACAGCTTTCTGCAAAGCAGTAAAGAAACCTCTGTGATATTTAATCTGACTGAAAAGAAGTTGTCCTGACCTAGTAATAAAACAATTACCACAAAAATTCAGAAACTATCTTGGAATTTGGATTCAAACAATCATTCTATTTAAGAAAAAGATGATTTCTTTAACTATTCCAGCACATAAGAATTTTGTTTGCTCCAATATTATAAGGATTTCTTGATCGGACTAATTATAAGTAAAGAAGTTGCCAGGCAGCTATTAAAAATTTTCTAATTCTACTATCACAAAAATTAAACTTAGTTTTTTGGTCTATAACATAAGAATACCTACAAATTAGGCAGAGACATTAATTTGTATAT